TTGACTCGTCTAGATACACAGGCAAGTAGTCCGGGGGTGGCAGCAACCATCACGAGGTGAAAGTAAGCCCTGTTTCTAAAACCCATACCATGTTCTTACATTCGTTCCTCTTGATCATATCATGCATTCGTCCGACGCGTATTGATCTAAAAAAAAAAAAAAAAAATGAAAAAAAAAAAAAAAAAAAAAAAAAAAAAGCCCAAAGTAACAGCGCATACATTTGTCCAAAAGGTACATCAACGGAACATAGGCCTACATCCGTCCATGCACTCTCCTCTCCCACTCCAACCCCCAACACGTGCGTTTTGTTCCTTTCCACACATGTGTGCATATATACATACACACATATATGTATTATATATATATACACTTGGAAAATCTGAATTACGGTGGTATATATTAAAATAAAAATAAAAAATAATTAAATTTATATAAATTACTAAAATTAGCGTTTCGTCCGACTATCTAGAAAAAAAAAACTGAGTATGTTCTTCTTGCATTCACTTTTCATATTGTATATTTAAACTGAATTTGAATAAAGTAAAGGTGTTGATAATTGAAAAAATAAAATAAAAAAGGATAATAATATTTTGTTTCGCCACAATAACCCCTTTTTTTATCGGCAAAACCGCAAGTATAGTTGCATGAAATAGAAAGAAAAAAAACCTCGGTGGTATAGTTGACTAAGTCAAAGAGATGTTTTTGGCCAAACACAGAGATCACAAAACAGGAGAAAGCTTCACAAAATTTGAGTCCCACGTCAGCGAAGAGGCAATGAAAAAAGATATATTATTATTTTAAAAGAAAAAAAAACAATATTGCAATTCCTAATTAAACACAACACTTAACTCATGCTTCAATGAAGTTACGAGTATATAAATCCAAATTTAATACCACGCCACTTTTCCTGGCATAATTTAAACAATTAATTTTAATACTCAGCATAAATAAATAAAATTGAACATGCGGAGAAATGCTGTGAATGAGTATAAATTTTCTAAAATATGAATTTTTACGAAATTGAGTGAGATGTCAAACGAATAAAAAATGATTTGAAAATATCTATTTAGAAAATTGAGATTTATTTACATCATAAAGTTCATAATTATTTTTATGACTTTTAAAGTTTCTAATTTTTAAATAAGTTTCTAAATTTCTATTTTTTTAAAAAAAATAATTGACCGTCCAAAAGTCTCGTATGGCTTACTAACCACTTTTTGTTTACCTAAAGAGTCAATGCGTTATAAATCTTTATAATAATCGAATTTTTTTAAACACTATATTATGTGTCTGTCTGCAATAGTTTTTCGTTTTTTCTTAATTAAAAATATAAATGAATATATGTGACATTTGCTGTAAAAGAAATAAATATTTGGGACAAAACATTAATTAAATACATTATAAAAAAATTGAGAGACTGTCCTCGATGGCACATGTGATTACCGACCATGGTCATCGTGTACGTGTGTCTTGTCTTCCGAATCAATTTATATTTTAAAGCTTATTCTGTTATATACATGTTATCTGATAATTATATGACAATAACAGTTTGTAAGTAAATACAATCTCCTAAATAATATCAAAGTTAAGATAGCATAATTTATTTTTGCACCCATTTTATTCAAATTATTCGATATTTTATAAAAATGGTGTATAAAAATTATGTTTGGAATGGAATTGGATTATATGAGATCTAACTAAATTTAATTTTAGATTCGTTTTAGTTGAAGCAAAATTCAAAATCTTTTGTTTTTGGAATAGAGGTAGATTCCATATTCAATTAAATTGTTTTTTTTTTCAATATATATGTAGAATTTGATTCAATTTGATCCAACCTATATTTTTATTTTGGAATTCTGATTTAGAATAAAAATTGAGAAACGTTACACAGTTGGTCATTTTTTAAATCAATACTCCTGTCTAATATCATGTGTATATACCATAGTTTTAACGTAACAGCATATTCTGAATGTGAAAAATATTTGCACAACCGAAGCCACAGAAAAAAGGCGAGTCCGACAACATTAATTTATTGCATTTAATGTACTAAACAATATATTCATTAATATTTATTCATATAAAGTAACTTATATATACAAGTAAATTAATTAATTTTATTTTTTAAAAAAAGAAATGGTCCAAAGAACAGGTCCACTAAAAGCAGCAGATCTCAACACCCACATGTACCTATATTTTCTACTTTACACTCCCTGCTCCTCCTTCTTCCTCCTCAGTAGCTCCCTCTCTGCTTCACAATCTCATTTCACGCATTTCCATTTTCTTCCAAGAAAAAAAGAAGTTTACTTTTCTCCATTTCTTCTCCCTTCCTCAAGGTGCATCCTGTTCCTTTGATTTTTCAATTTATACATATATATATATATATATGTTATGTGTGTGTGTAGATATATATGGGGTTAGATATGGGTAGTTGTGAAATCTTGAATAGATTGCTTGTTTTTTTGTTCATTTTCTCAAGTAAACGACATCCGAAATAAAGACGTTTAAGACAGTACATTTCTTGCGGGGTTCAGCTGTTTTTCCAAAGATCCATCCTTTTTTTTTTAATCTCTGCTGCAGATGCATCTTCTTGTTTGAGTTAATGGGTTTTTTTTTGTTTCCATTTTCGTTTGAAACCCATTGGGAGAGAGCTCTGCGAGGTTCTTCTGAATCTGCTGCTGGTGAAAATGTACTGATTTTTTTTTTTTGGCTGTAAATGACACATTGCCTTTGTCTGTAGCTCATGAATCATGATAGCTGTTTGGTTGCTGAGAAAATTTCAACCCCCCCCCAACTGTATGTATTGTAGCTGAGAACATTTAATGATGCTTCTTCATGTCCGAAATGATTGAATAATTGTGTTCTTGTCTGCACCCTCTTTTTTTCTCCCCTCCACCTTGAAGCGTGTTTGATTCTTCTTTAATGTTTACCTAAATTCTGTGTAGATATAGATCTCAAGTTCCTGATTGAATTCGCCATTAGTTAAAGTTCTTTTTACACATTGATTCTAGTTTAGGTTTATGATTGCTAATCTCTCTCTGAATCGCTTAATAGTTGCTTGATGGGTTCTTCTTGTTGCGTTTCTTTGTTGCAGGTTCCACATGTAACAGAGCCAAGAACTTTAACCTGAAACTGAAACTACTCTTCGTGTTTCCTCTCACTGTTCTTGGTCCTTGTCCATCACTTTCTTGGATCCCATCCTGAGACAACGTCAAAAGGGGATTAGATTTGTAGCATTGTTGCCAGTTTCAGACCAAGATGCAGAAACCTCCGCAGAATATAGACTTTGCCCTGAAAGAGACCTCGCCAAAGATCGGGGCGGGTGCTGTCGCGGGTGATAAGCTCTCCTGCACTTATGATCTCGTCGAGCAGATGCATTACCTCTATGTCCGGGTCGTCAAGGCGAAAGATCTGCCAGGAAAGGATGTGACCGGGAGTTGTGACCCTTACGTGGAAGTGAAGCTCGGAAACTACAAGGGAATGACAAAGCATTTCGAGAAGAAGTCGAATCCCGAGTGGAACCAAGTCTTCGCCTTTTCCAAGGACAGGATCCAAGCTTCGATCTTGGAGGTCATTGTTAAAGACAAGGACGTCGTGCTCGATGATCTGATCGGTAGAGCTTTGTTCGATCTTAACGAGATTCCTAAAAGGGTTCCACCAGATAGTCCCTTGGCTCCTCAGTGGTATCGGCTGGAAGATCGACACGGGAATAAGGTTAAGGGTGAGCTCATGCTTGCTGTCTGGATGGGGACACAAGCCGATGAAGCATTCCCTGATGCTTGGCACTCCGACGCAGCGACAGTGGGGCCCGATGGCGTGGCCAATATAAGGTCGAAAGTGTATCTATCGCCAAAGTTATGGTACGTGAGAGTGAATGTGATTGAAGCTCAAGACTTGGTGCCTCACGACAAAACTCGATACCCCGAGGTATTCGTGAAAGCAATGCTCGGGAACCAGGCCTTGAGGACCCGAATATCTCCGACAAAAACCTTAAACCCGATGTGGAACGAAGATCTGATGTTTGTGGTGGCCGAGCCCTTTGAAGAGCCGCTGATTCTCTCGCTGGAAGACAGGGTTGCGCCTAACAAAGACGAAACGCTCGGGCGGTGTATGATCCCGTTGCAGAACGTTCAGAGGAGGTTAGACCACAGGCCGTTGAACTCGAGGTGGTTCAACCTCGAGAAACACATTTTGGTCGACGGGGAGAAAAAGGAGGTGAAATTCGCTAGTAGGATCCATCTGAGGATCTTTCTGGAGGGCGGATACCATGTTCTTGATGAATCAACTCATTACAGCAGCGATCTAAAGCCGACGGCAAAGCAACTATGGAAGCCGAGCATCGGAATACTCGAAGTAGGGATCATTAGCGCTCATGGCCTGATGCCGATGAAGACAAAAGACGGGAGAGGCACGACTGATGCCTATTGTGTGGCCAAGTACGGACAGAAATGGGTCCGGACAAGAACTATAGTGGACAGTTTCATGCCGAAATGGAACGAGCAGTACACTTGGGAGGTGTTTGATCCTTGCACTGTGATCACAATCGGAGTTTTCGACAATGGGCACATCGGAGGAGGAGGAAAAGACTCAAGAATCGGCAAAGTGAGAATCAGATTGTCGACACTCGAAGCCGAGAGGGTCTACACTCATTCTTATCCGCTGCTCGCCTTCCATCAGTCGGGCGTGAAGAAAATGGGCGAAGTACAGTTAGCCATACGGTTCACTTGCTCGTCTTTGATGAACATGCTTCACATGTATTCGCAGCCACTCTTGCCCCGGATGCATTACATCCACCCGTTATCGGTCATCCAGCTCGACAGCCTGAGACATCAAGCCATGAACATCGTCTCGATGAGGCTGAACCGAGCTGAGCCGCCGCTTCACAAAGAGGTCGTCGAGTACATGCTCGACGTGGATTCTCACATGTGGAGCATGAGGAGGAGCAAGGCCAATTTCTTCCGGATCATGAGCGTTTTAAGCGGCCTTATCGCCATTGGCAAGTGGTTCGATCAGATCTGCAACTGGAGAAACCCGATAACCACGATTCTCATCCATGTTCTCTTCATAATCTTGGTTCTCTACCCGGAGCTCATCCTCCCGACCGTTTTCTTGTACCTCTTCTTGATCGGTATCTGGAACTTCCGTTGGAGGCCAAGGCATCCGCCACACATGGACACACGGCTGTCTCACGCGGACGCTGTCCACCCGGACGAGCTGGACGAGGAGTTCGACACGTTCCCGACGTCTAGGCCATCGGATATCGTGAGGATGAGGTATGATCGGCTGAGGAGCATCGCGGGCAGGGTGCAGACGGTGATAGGAGATCTCGCTACGCAAGGGGAGCGGTTCCAGTCGCTACTGAGCTGGCGTGACCCGAGGGCGACCACGCTGTTCGTGATGTTCTGTCTGGTCGCGGCCGTCGTGCTGTACGTTACCCCTTTCCAGGTCGTGGCGCTTCTCACGGGGATTTACGTGCTGCGGCACCCGAGGTTCAGGTACAAGCTCCCGTCCGCTCCGCTCAACTTCTTCCGGAGGCTCCCCGCAAGATCCGACAGTATGCTTTAAGCCAGATCTCGTGGCTGTAATGATTTCATTGTATTCTTCCTTCGAGTTGAACTGTGGAGACCAATAACGTTGTCGCTTGCTATGCTATTCATGGAGTTTTTTTTTTTTAATGTAAAATTTCATCAGACCCAGTAATTCATTCGTTATTTTATTCTGCAAGAAGGGGGTTGTAAAATTTCCTATTCAAATGAAATATTATGCTCTGAATCATATACTAAGATCTGAGAAAAGAGCAGGCAATGAATCCCATCCACGTGTCAGATTGGGTTATATTTGGATATAAATATTTAGGTGATACTTATAGAAAAAGAAAAACTGTAACCATTCCATTTTTATGTATTTTATTTCGATTTGGGTCGGTTCGCATTCCGTTTTTTTTTTTTTAATTTCTCATTTTTCAAAGAAATTTTTTACGATTTTTTTTTTATTCGATTCCCTTTTGTTCGATACCATTCGATTTTATGTCGATACGGTTGGTGGGTCGGTCCACAATCAGTAAGCCTCTTTCCAATTAGTTTTAGTCATTCGTATTAGCCCGTTTATAGAGCCCAGCCCTTGTGAAGTTATATCGAGCATCAACATCCCCATCTGTTTTATTTATTTATTTATTTATTTTTCCATCAAGGAATTAAGTACGTTCATGACTCAACCTACGTCAACATGCATTGAGATTTCAACATATGCTTTAGCCCAAACGGTGCTTGGTTATGGAGACCTTATAGCCATGCTTCGTACGAAGAATAATAGAGGGAACTAGCTCGAGCTGTTGACCTTCAGTCGCTGTAATAACGTCATAATTCTGTAAGATCTCGACGGCCACTATGGCCATCTGCGTGAGAGCCACTTGCTTCCCTATGCATGTTCTTGGACCGGCGTTGAACGACGCGAACTTGAAGGAAGGCTCGTGTTTCAGCCTTCCCTTCTCGGAGATCCATCTCTCGGGCTTGAATTCGGACGCATCATCTCCCCACACGGATCTCATCCTCCCCATCGCGTAAAACGGGAAGATAATCTTCGTGTTCGCTTCGACTTTGTGCCCGCTCGGGAGCGTATCTGCCTTTGCAGGAGACTTATGGTTAAACGGAACCGGCGGGTAGAGCCTCAACGCTTCGTACAACGCGCCGTGTAAATACACCAACTTGTTCAAATCCACTTGGTCGAGTTGTGTCTCATCGTCACGGTTTATGGATCTTGGCATCTCTGCACTGATCTCTCCTCGAATCTTGGCCACTGCTTCAGGGTTCTTGGAGAGAAGCCAGAAGAAACCAGTGAGACCAGCGCTTGTGGTATCTCTCCCGGCCAAAATGAAAGACACCATGGTGTCCCTGAGAAATTTATCGTCACTAGGGTTCAAGAAGTTGTATTTGTTTTCATCTAAATTCATATAGTAAGTCAATAAATCCATTGCATCCCCTTTTGGCTGAGTTCCTCGACGTAAATCCTCTCTTTTCATAGAGATATACTTGGCGCATTCACGGTCGGCAATGGCAACGGTGTTCTTCAACTTCTTCTCCAATCCAAAGTCGATCCAGTTTTGCAACTTCCACAAGATTCTCGGCTTGACATGTCTATGGAAAATCGCTTCTTCGGCGTCTTCCACAGCGTCGGCAAGCTCGACACGAGGCATGTCTATGGATAGACTCTTGGGATTGTACCCAGTTATCAGAGTAAGGGTTGTGTCGAACGTGAACCTCTGGAATACATCTTGCAAGTCGACGAGCGTATTTTTCTTTGCCGCGTGATCGAGAAGAGGTACGAGCCCCCTTTTCGCCACACTTACGGTGGCACTCTTGGTAAACCTCTGGAAGTCATGATGGCTGAGCAAGGCGTGAGCCGACTTCCTAAGATTCTTCCACAGCTCGAAGTCGGCGTTGAATATGCCGTCCCCCAAAGCGTCAAAGATCTCCCCGAAATCCGGTCCTTTCGGGTAATTTACAAAGTTGGAACAGAGAATGTGGTGAATATTGGCCGGATCGACAGTGAACAACAGGTCCATCCCAGCAAATATTGGACCCTTGAAGAGGAACGTCAAGTTGGAGACCTCTAGAACTTGGATGATCCAATCGTAGAAACGTGGGATTTCGACGGTGAAACCTGGAAGCATCCCGAGAAACGGCCAGTTCGTGAGCAAAGCATGGTGACGTTTCTTGCTGAACAAGAAACGGAAGAGGAGAAAGACAAAGAATGCCATGGATACTTCAAGAGAGCCTATCAGAGCCATATCAGAAAGGTTTTCTCTGTTGTATATGAAATGATATGGAGAGATCTCAGTTCCATATTGCTATTTATACAGAAGCTAGATCTATTCCCTCCTTTGTTTTTCCTTTATCTTTACGTGACGGGTATAAGACAATGACTTGTTCCATGCCGTCTTCATCTTCCGAAGCTACCAGTCTAAAAATATTCCAAACGGTACGACAAGTCCACCAGAAAAAAACTTTACGAATAACATCGCTGTACTAGTAGAAACCACCAGATCCAGTCTCAAACAATTTCGAAACTCCGTACGAATAATTTACAATATTAACTAGAAATAACTAAATAAAAATATTAAAATAAAAAGTAACTGATAAATCGACAAATTTATTAATTTAATTTTGGATCTCTATTTTCGAACGCTACCCCTAAAGTGAATTAAAAAATGTTGTTTTTAATAACATTAAATAATGAAAATAAAAATAAAAGATAATTTTTTATATAAAATAATGAAAGAAAAATATAAAACTTAAAAAATAAATATTAAATAAAATTAATATTTAGATGCCAAATTATATCGAAAGGGAAAATATTTTTTAAAAAATCAAACAAAAAATAATTGTGATAAAATTTTTAAATTTATTTTTATATTAGAGAAAATGACATTTTCCTATACAGAGATTTTGTAAAAAAATAATAAAAATATTTCAAAAAAATAATAAAAAATCGAAAAAAATAAAAATAAATTAAAAAGAAAAATAAAAAGAAAATATATATATATATATACATATATATATATTCATATCCCTATATACAAATACAAATATAAATATATATACTCTTATGTATAAATATATCTATATATATACAAAATAAAAAAATATACACACATATATACATCTATATAAATATATATGCATATACATATATACAAATATATTTATATACATACACATAAACATACATCTATACAAATATATTTATATATTCCTATGTATAAATATATATGCATAAAAACATATATATTATACATAGGAATATCTATGTTTATATTTGTATCTGTATATAGATATGATATATATATGTATGTTTTTATTTTGTATCTATGTATATATATATATATACATATATATATATACATATGTATATATATATATACATATTTATATATGTGTATGTATGTATATATATAAATATATTTATATATATATACATATATTTGTATAGATGAATGTATATATATGTGTATATATTTATTTTATATGTATATATAGATATATTTATACATAGGAGTATTTATGTTTGTATTTGTATTTATATGTGGATATGAATATATATATACATGTATTTTTTATTTTGTATGTATATATATGTATATATACGTGTATATGTATTTATATATATTTATGTTTATATATATAAATATATTTGTATGTATGCATATACATACATATTTTTATAGATGTATGTATATATATGTGTATATTTTTTATTTTGTATATATATATATATATTTATACATAGAAATATATATATTTATATTTGTATTTATACAGATATGAATATATATATATGTGTGTATTTTTTTGCTTTTTATTTTTATTTTTTAAATTTATTTTCATTTTTTCATTTTTTTCGATTTATTTATTTATTTATTTTTTTGAAATCTGACGTGGCATTGTGATGTGCCAAAAAAATTTTATGTGGCGTATCATGTCAGCCGCCACGTGACATTCCATATCAGTTTTTAACGGATATTTAACAGCATTTAGGATTGTATAGGAAATTGCAGTAAAATTGGGTAGTTCGTGTATCGATTTGGGACATTTGATAATTTGGTATAGGTTTTTATCAAATTAAAAGTTCGTGTAAGAAAAAGTCAGATTTTCCAAAATTCGTGTAGTAAAATGTTATTTTCTTTTTATATTATAAAAAATTTAAAATTTTAAAATGAGAATAGTTTTAACCAATATTACTATTCTCTAATTATATTTAAAAAATCTTTAATAATATGTAAATTATATAAAACAAAATAAAATTATCAAACATACAATTTTAAAAAATAAATAAATGTGGGGCCACTGTGGCCCCCTCTTGAGACGGCTCACGGGCTCAGTATCCAGGCCCGTCTTGTATATTGTTATTGTTGCAGTTGCACGAGACACCTAAATGTGAGGGACATCATTTAAAAAGTGGCATTAAATTCTGTAAGTTTGTTATATATTACTTTTCGAAATAGTTGTTGTTTTAGATTATTTCACATTTTTTAAGAAAAGATAGAAAAAGTCACATATATCCTTATTTAATGATAAAAACAATGTTATCACTAATAATTTATTAGAATTTAATAGGGATAAAATTGGAAACTATTGTAAAAAAATGTCTTGAAAATGTAAAATGACAAATATTTTGAAACATGGAAAACAATCCAAAACTACAAATATTTTGAAACGGAAGGAGTAAATATAACTTATATTTGGATATTGTAATCACTTAAACATTCTAAAATTGGGCGGAAAAAATAACTGATTCAATTTGATAGAAATGAAAATGGTTTTGAATTTTTAATTTTTTTCACCAGTACGTAATCATTTCAATCCTAAAAACTTAGTATAAAAGAATATTTCAACTAAATACAGAATCATATATGTTAACCACTTCATTTATAAATAAACAAGATTTTGTCTTAAGTGTATGATATGCTTTATTATTATAAATATTTTTCAGCTACGGACCTTTCTTATTTTGATGAATAATGTGTTTTGATATATACTTTTTTTTTATAAAGAATTAATTTCTCTAATATAATGTAGAATTTTATTTAATCAATTATTATATTAAAAATTATGAGATGGACAAGAGAGAATCGTCTAAAAACACTGGCCTTAAATCAATACAAGTATTTTTTATAAATATTTCCAAATATATCTTCCTCAAATGCACACTTGAAAAATCACAACAAGACGAATACTTTATGGCTCTCGTTTCCATAAAGTATTTATTCATTCCGAGTGGTACTACCACCCTACCTTAAGTCCCCATTAACCATAATGATGGTCAAAAAGATTATTAATTATTCCACCAAATGTTGCAACCCACACGATCCGTGGAACGTGAAAGACATGAGCTTATCGAATCTTTTAGCTTAGTAGTTTCTATAAATTACTATTACTAGCACTATTAACGTGAATTTCGCGAAAATTTTTGCGTCATATCATATCATGAATATAGATGGTTCAACATCTTTGTCCCTTAATCAGATGTCAGAGATTCGAACCTTGCTCTGAGACGGAAAAACGCAAAATAATCTATATCACTACAAAAAAACATCCAAAATTGCGACGGAACAATTTCCTTTCGTATAACGTTGTCGTAAAAATTTGTCGGTCGTTAATCCATCACTAAAATTGCGACAGACGAAATCTGCATTTTGCGACATAAAAACTATAGAAAAATTCGTCGCAAATTTATGACAGAAAAAAGAGAGAAAAATCCATCGCAGATGTTTTAAATTTTTTTAAAATATATATATAAAAAATAATATGTTATACATAAATATATATACATATATTCACATGCACATACATTCATATATACATACATTATACATATACACATAAATTTATATATACATATATATATACACATATATAAACACACATTCATACACATAAATTTACACGCATACACAAACATACATATATATATAACATACACACATACATAAACACACATACACACACATACATATATATATATACATATACACATACACATATACATTACATACATACATAAACACACATCCATACATATTCACACATATACACATACATAAACACACACATACACACATACATACATACATACATAAACACATTCACATACACATATACATAAACACATACACATATTCACATATATACACAACACACACATACATATTCACATATATACATACATACATATTCACACACATATAAACACATTCACACACAAACATATTCACATTCACTTACATACATACACACATACATACATACATACATACATACATACATACATACATACATACATACATACATACATACATACATACATACATACATACATACATACATACATACATACATACATACATACATACATACATACATACATACATACATACATACATACATACATACATACATACACATTAACAACACATAAACATACATAAACACAAAATATACACACACATATATACACACTATATATAATCTATATATACTCATATATACATATTCACACTCATATACATACACAATGCGACATATATACACATATCTTGGATAAATTTTTGGAGCAAAACAACGTTTGGAGAAGATTTGAGAAGATTAAGATTTTTTTTGGAAACTTCAAAGTTTGAAGGAGGAAGACGAAGTTGGTGTTTTTATTTTGTGTTACGACAGAAATTATCGTCGCAATCTGTCGCAAACGAAATAAAATTTTCATCGAAAATAACGAAAATAGATGAAATTAGTATTTGCGACGGAAATTTCTATCGTAAATCTGTAGCAAATTCTGAAAAATAAATAAAATAAATAAAAAATAATTAAATTAAAATTTACTACAGAAATTTTTGTCATAAAGTCGTAGCAAATTCTGAAAAATAAATAAAATAAATTAAAAATAAATAAAATTAGTATTTGTTACAAAAATTTCTGTCGCACATCCGTAGTAAATTCTGAAAAATAAATAAAATAATTTAAATTAATAATTGTTACAGAAATTTTTGTCGCAATTCGTCGTAAAGTCCGATACATTTTACAATTTCCGTCGCAAATGATGTTTGTTTTTACGACAGCAATATCTCCGTCACATTCCGCCAGTAAATTTTCGATTCGTATTTTTTTTTTGCATTCCGTTGCAAAACTGTATGCGACGAAAATTTCTGTCGCAAGTTCGGTAGGTATAGGGAGGATTTTCTTGTAGTGTATGTACAAAGTTTAAATATGTGGATTTATAGTTGAAAGCCATTTAAGACCATATCGTGGTCTAACCAAACTTAACATGGATCCGACCACACCGACGACCTTCGACAACGCCTACTTCAAGAACCTTCAACGAGGAATGGGTCTGTTTATTTCCGATCAGATCTTGTTCACAGATCGACGGTCGAGATCGACCGTGAATCTCTTCGCTTCCAATGAAGGAGCCTTCCGACAAGCTTTTGTGTCGGCGATTACGAAGCTTGGTCGCGTCGGGATTAAGACCGGCAACGCCGGTGAGATTCGGAGTGACTGTACACGTGTCAATTCATAAAAATTTCTGTCTGAAGATAAGCCCGTAAATATATGGGTTGGGCTAAGACATTAAAGTGGGCCCTGCGTACTTGTAGGCCTTTTTCATGTCAAACGTATAATCGGTGTTTGAATTAGAATTAATTATTTTCGTTTTAATATACAGAATAAAATAAAATTGGATTCATTAGAATTTATAAATAATATTTTATATTGGCTTCGAGTAATATGATCCAAACCAACTCATTTCACTCTCTTCTAAAAAACATGCACCATCCAAATATTATAAAAAGCAAGTGTTTTAAATGGAATAAACAAATGCTCAAACCGTCCATCCATCCATCCCTTAGAATAACCAAAACTATACAAAAGATTAAATCATGCAAATATTAATAAGAGAGAGAGAGAGAGAGAGAGAGAGAGAGAGATGATAAATAAATAGGAAAAAGAAAGAGATGTGAAGGAGGTTGAGAGTCGTTGATGTAATTCTAACCAAATACGAGGAACGGTCTGTTTCACTACGTGGTCTCAGTCATTTTCTATTTTCTATTTTCTTCTTTTTCTCTCTCTCTAGTCTCTATATATATATATATAATTTTCTTTTTCCACGGTAACCGTCAATCCCTGCCATGTTCAACTTATCTGCCATGTATATATATTAATCATATCTTTGCTTATATATTTAGTTATTTGACAACCAATGAATTCGGTTTGTAAAGGTTAGTTCTACAAGAAAGTCAGCCAATAACTTTATCAAAAGAAAAGCTTTAACTCTATTAACTATCTTATATATTCATGCGCGTGATTCGATACCTTTATCAAAGAAAAGAAAAATGAATTCTACAACAAACTTGGGTTTGTTAATCAATAGCCAGTCCACATACAGCCCATTGACGTGCACATAACAGTGACACAAGCAATGAACGGTGTGGCCTCAGCTGCTGTGTTACCACTGGGCCGAACTACAGTTACCAAACCCAAAGCCCATTTTTCTCGGTCTTTCTATATCGGCATCATTACATATATATATATATGTGCGCGAAACATACTGAGTCACACAGCTCTCTAACCTTCGCGGTCGTTATTAGGGTGACCATATATTTTTTTTGGTAAATAATTATTAGGGTGACCATATTAACAAAATAGACGAATCGAATAAAATAGAGGTTTCATGATATAAAAATTAAATAGTTATAATTTTTTTTTTAAATTCGAAAAAATTGAAATCGAACCGAATTATATTTTAATGTGATGTCACCGCCGGAATCTGCAATATCACCAAAAATTCGCCGAATCGCCAATTCCTTTAAAAAATATAGAAAAACCCTTATACACACTTTATATATACACTCACACAAACACTTGTACACATATAGATGTTTTTACATATACATATACAAAGTACAAACCATACATGTTTATACATAATACATATAATATTAATATACACCCATATCATATATATATATATATATAATTATATATAACTTCACAAACACGTGATTGTGTGTATATGTATAGGCACATACATACATACATACATACATACATACATATGTATATATATGTAAGTGTATATTTGTGTGTATGATGTATATGTGTTTAGTCTCCGCTTTTATTAATACTACAAAATTATTTTTATTGGATCCGTGGTTAATATGGATTTGTGTTTAAATCCATTTCAGTTATAATTATATGTTACTGGATTTGGTTTAACAAAATTGAAATATCAGCCCCTTGACTTAACCAAAATGGGACCCTTGATCTATTGGTTTTGTTTTCTCTCTACCGGTTTAGACGGTTTATAAGGGACATGACATGGGATTTTTCTTGTCATCCAGACCGGATCGAAGTCGCTTGAACCGGTTTACTCGGTTGGTCCAATTCTGGTTTGAAAACATTGATAACCGCAAAATTTGACAAATTTTCCGTTTTTTTTTTAAATTGTTTTAATAAAAAAGAAAAAGAAAAACAGCATTTTCCACTTGCCAGTGCAAAGAACGAACAAAGTTGGGGTTTTAGCGTAATCATCGTCTACCTGAATCGAAACCCTAGCTGTTCTTCTTCTCAGAATCCCTCAATTTCGCTCCGAAGCCAATGAGAATGGAAAGAAATGGAGATATTCTCTTCTCTTCATCGCCTTCTCTCAAAATCCCTTCGACTTCTCAAGAGCGGTCTTTCCTCGAAAACCTCGGATCCTGCTCCAAAACCTTATTCTCTGAGCTCTCTAGAACTCGTCACTCGCTCACTCGACTAGTTGACTCGGTTAAGCATCGCCACAATTCTGCCCAACTCTGCCAAACCCGACCCAAGCGTTGGCCTGACTCACCGACTTGGATGCTCAGCTCAGTCACTGGGCTTCTGACTGGGAAGTCGCGGCTCTTCAACTCGATTTCGTTCTCGCTTAACCAATCCGCTCAGTCTAGTGAGTCCGATTCACGGGTTGAGAATTACGGGATAGCCCCCGGGACACAATCTCCTATGCTTTGCTTCGCCTCACTGTCTCTAACTCCACCTGTCCAGTCGACTCAGTCCGGGTCTGACGCGAAGGAAACATCACAGCAACAGCAGCAGCAACAAGTACCTCATAAAGGCCACTCAGTGAGCCGGAATGCGGAGGAGCGAGTTCTGATAAGCGAGGTCTTAGTGAGAACGAAAGATGGTGAAGAACTCGAGAGGAAGGATTTGGAAACGGAGGCATTGGCTGCGTTGAAGGCATCTCGAGCAAATTCTGCCTTAACCATTCGCGAGGTCCAAGAGGATGTACACAGAATCATAGAAAGTGGGTACTTCTGCTCTTGTACTCCTATTGCTGTTGATACACGGGACGGCATTAGATTGGTGTTTCAGGTATAGTGTGAGTATGATATTTTTGGAGAAAGACGTTCTTTTACGTGTTTTGGCGATGAATTTAATGATTTGGTTTTCTTGGCATAAGGTAGAACCAAACCAGGAGTTTCATGGGTTGGTTTGTGAGGGGGCAAATGTTCTTCCTGCAAAGTTTCTACAAGACGCATTCCAAGATGGATATGGTATGTCTCCTCTTGTATGGCTTTCCGGTTTTCTTGCGAGTTGTTGTTACTGGTTGATTTAGCTATCTCATAGAGGACATGTTGATTCCTAGGTTCCATTTTCTCACTGTATAGTTGTATGGTTTTAGTAAAAACTGACTGAAACCAAAAGTTCTGCACTGTTTAGTCAAAGATGTAATAAATGTTTAGCCTTCGAAAGTATATGGAATAGATGATTGAAATTTCTTACATGATTGGTAATGCATGATAAGTTTCAAGATAATTGTGCATTGCTAGTTCACTTTCACTGAAGAAATGTATATATCAGCTCTATGACACAATTATGCTGTGATCTAGAAGATGCCCGATTTCAGTCTGTTTGGCCTTAATGCACATGTGCTTGTACTGAGTTTAGTTGGTCATACTCCAGTGGTCCATGTGTTAATAGGATACATCAATTGTTTCTTAATTTTGGCGTCAAGTTGTGCAGGAAAAGTGATTAACATTAAGAGGCTGGAGGAAGCTATTACATCCATCAATGGCTGGTACATGGAGCGTGGTCTTTTTGGGATTGTAAGTGTTTATGAAATTGTTTTTTCCTGGGCATGGTCTACATGGTCTGGAATCATATTTAATTCCTGTCTCTTTATCGGTGTTTATGTCAATGCAGGTTTCGGATATTGACACACTTTCTGGAGGCATAATAAGGCTTCAAGTGGCTGAAGCAGAGGTTAACAACGTATCCATCCGTTTCCTTGATCGTAAAACGTAAGCTAATGCTAAACCCTCCTTTTTTGCATGCGTAGTTGTGTGACTTAATTTTCACGCTATATGGATGGCACTGCCAATCAATTTTTGGTTCTATCTCAAATGATTATTGTAAGATTTTACATGCCATAGACTCATAGTGATGTCTGTTGTTTCCAGCGGTGAACCAACCCGAGGGAAGACAAGGCCTGAGACAATACTACGACAACTTACAACTAAGAAGGGGCAGGTATATTACTGCACACTCAGCTTGGGTTATAAATAAATCACTAGCATCATAATTTCTTTGAGGCATGTTGTACGTCTGACCCCACCTTTCGGCTCTCAGCTGGTAAAATGTTACCTAGTTTCCTTTCAGAACTGTTCTGTATTACATTTGATCAATCTTGCATTGAATCGTTATTTTGATGCTTTGATTGGTAGGAAATGAAAAGAAAAATTCTTATTAGTATTTGATTAAGACATTTTGCGCAAGCCTCTTAACTGTACTGGACCTTATGAGATAACTCTTGTCTCACCTCTCTTTGAGTTGATTAGGTCTACAGCATGCTTCAAGGGAAGAGGGATGTCGACACTGTCTTAACCATGGGAATCATGGAAGATGTTAGTATTATTCCTCAACCTGCAGGAGGTGAGATATCAGTGTCCTTTGAAGTGTTGAAAGATAGTAAATGAGTTGAAGATAAAGGATAGAATATTACTTAGCTGTTTAAAGATAGTGTTCTTATATCCAGTCTGAAATATTAGGTACAGCATGGCACGAGTATTTTTGTTGCCAGAGGAAGTGTGTTGCTTATGCATTAGTCACAATAGGTTTTGGCACTGCTAGTATTTTTTTAAACCTTTTTTCATTTCCTTGGTCCTTTTTCGGGAATCCTAGATACTGGGAAAGTTGATTTGATCATGAACTGTGTCGAACGTCCCAGTGGAGGCTTTTCTGCTGGTGGTGGGATATCAAGTGGGTAAGTTTAAGAATGCTAGTTGCTTTGATTCTCTTGCGTTTCTATAGTCGCTGACAAGAATCTCATCGGCTTTTTATTTGCAGGATTACAAGTGGCCCCTTATCTGGACTCATTGGAAGGTAAGGCTCTATAATATGACAGTGGTCCCTTTTTGGATACTTTTGTGTTCATGTTTCCGTCTGCACTGTTCCTTTTGCAACTAATTGTATTGAGATTTGTTTTCTGTTACAGCTTTGCATATTCTCACAGAAACCTTTTTGGAAGAAACCAGAAACTAAATATTTCCCTGGAGAGGGGTCAAATCGATTCCATATTTCGTGTAAACTACACAGATCCATGGATTGAAGGAGATGACAAGAGGACATCGAGATCTATCATGGTTCAGGTATTTGGAGGGGGTTTCACTTTATTTTTCGTCTATATTTATCTTAATGTCAAATGTTGATTGGGAGATAAGTGGGTGGCCAGATTGACTGTCCAGTTCTGTATTGTATTAGAATTCACGAACACCCGGGACTCTCGTTCATGGCAACCAACCGGACAATAGTAGTCTTACCATTGGGCGTGTAACTGCTGGTATAGAGTACAGTCGACCATTTAGGCCAAAGTGGAGTGGTACTGCTGGACTTATTTTTCAGGTATTCTAGTTTTGCAGTTCTGTTCAGTTCTAATCATGGCCAGCATTGGTGTTAAAGACAAAAAAAATATTATTCCTCTTGACCATTTTTTGAGATCTTTTCTTTCAGAGTTTTTTTGGAGATACAAATACATATCCAGACATATGTCTGTTTGTGTGTCTTAATATATTTGGGTGTGTGTTACATACCACCATCTCATTCGCTGTTTAATTCAATGTTCAGCATGCTGGTGTTCGTGATGAGAAAGGAAATCCGATTATTAAGGACTTCTACAGCAGCCCCCTAACCGCAAGGTAATACATGCCGAAAACACGTTCATTTAAATTTGTCTATCCCCTTGTTCTGCTCATTGATGTTTTCACAACACACTCGACAATATTGCTGAATTATCGTTCTTATAATGATGACACATGTAGTGGTAAGACCCATGACGATACATTGCTAGCTAAATTCGAAAGCATCTACACAGGCTCTGGTGATCATGGATCAACAATGGTTAGTCAATCATCCATTAGTAAATTTAAATTGTCCTCTTCAGTGCCCAGAAATTCTCATTCTCTTCTTTGTTTTGCTAGTTTGCGTTCAACATGGAACAAGGGCTTCCAGTTTTCCCCGAATGGCTGTTTTTCAACAGAGTGAATACTCGTGCCAGAAAAGGCATAGACATTGGCCCTGCTCGTTTTCTTCTTAGGTACCTTTTCACAGCTTAATCATCTTAAGATTCTCTTTCCTGTTTTTCCGAACCTAAACCGTATTTAATTGTTTGTGTTTCCAGCCTGTCCGGTGGACATGTTGTGGGCAACTTTTCACCTCATGAAGCATTCGCCATTGGTGGAACAAACAGTGTAAGAGGTTATGAAGAGGGTGCTGTGGGATCTGGTCGGTCCTATGTCGTTGGCTCGGGCGAGATTTCTTTCCCAGTGGTTGGTGTTTTTTTTCCTGGAAACTTTTTTACCCGGAGTCTTTTCTCGATTAATTGCACAAATGCATAATAACGCACATCTATCTCAGCCTTTTCATGTCTTTTCTTTGCGAGTATATATCATTAGCGACGAATAGAGGTTCTGACCATCGATTTCATCTTTCTTGCAGCGAGGTCCTGTTGATGGCGTCGTTTTCGCGGATTATGGTACTGACCTTGGATCAGGCAACACTGTTCCAGGTACTAGATAGATAGCGAAATTTTGGACAGAAGAAAAAAAGAACAGAAAGCAACTCCAAAATAACCAAACAAACGAAAATGTAATCGATCTTTGATTTGTTCTATGTTCCTGTCAGGCGATCCTGCTGGGGCAAGATTGAAGCCAGGAAGCGGGTATGGGTACGGATTCGGGGTTCGCGTGGATTCGCCTTTAGGGCCGCTACGTCTGGAATACGCCTTCAACGATCAGCAGACCGGCAGGTTTCACTTCGGTGTCGGTTACAGGAACTAAACTTACCGTTGTTCCGGTGAGATTTTTTTTATCCTTAAAACGATTGATGCGGGAAATAGATTTGTCTTTTAGTATCGTTGAGATTTAAATAGAATGTTTCAGCACAAATTCATGTGTTTGCGTATAGAGTTCAATGATTATAAAATCCAAGAATATTGTGACATGGAGCTAAGCGATTGCGAATCTGAAGATGTGTTGGAGAGAGATTGAAAAGCTAATAGGTTAATTAATAAGCAAATAGTATAATTTTTTGAGAATCAATAATATATATATATATATGTATAATTTCGTGGAAAGTGAAGTGGTAAAATCGTAAAACTCTTGAACTTTCGGGGGGTTTGTCTAAGAAGTTTTTCAAGAGTAGATGTCTGTCGCTTCCTGTGCCCAATCAATGACATAGTTTCAAATGTTAATTGAGATTACACCCTCAGGAAACTGGCATACAAAGCTTACAAGACATGAAAATCCAACTGTAACAGTGTTGGATCGGTCTTTCTTACATTGTCTATGGGCGACTGTGGTTTTCCTTCTCGTCTGAACTTCTACTTGGCTGAACCGAACTGGTCTGCTCAACACTAACATCACCAGCACCAACTTCTTTGTTAACTCCCGAGCCATTGGTTCGGCCAGAATTCCTCTCCCTCAACAAGTTGATTCCGTTTGAAGATGCTGACCTCATCGCCCTCGGTAGCTTCAGACCGATGGTGTTGGACTCTGCTTCTGAACTTTCGGCTTTTCTCAATGCTTCGGTTTTCACAGGCAGTGTATTGTTCGGTTCGTCTCGTGATGGAGGTGGAGCCACTGGAACAAGCTGGAGCACTGTCTTCTTCCATTTCTTTCTCTGATTCGGCTTTGGCACATTCGACTTTCCCTGAACCGATTAGTTATATTACTGCCATGACGTTACAGAAACGGATGTTAGGGGGAAATCCTTTACGCTTACCGTTGTGTTTCCTATGTCTGATAGAGGTTTTCTCCTTGATGTAGCGCCATCATCACCATTGGTCTCGGCTGCCTTGTCAGCAAAGGCATTCCGTAGCAGTCTAGCTCCACGTGAAGCAAGGGCTCGATCACCTTCCGTTTCATCAGATTCTTGCGAATTCTCCCCATTATCCGATGCCTCCAATTGTGACACCGAATCATTCTCTTTTCCGTCTTCAGATCTGTTGGAGCATCTTTTTGCTGAACAACCACATGATGCTCCACAAGCTCCGTTGACAGCTCGGCATTGGCATTTTATTGTCTTGCACAGAGAGCTCTTGGAGCATGTGCAGCAAACAGCAGCGGTGGTTCCTTTTGGTTCGGCTCCCGAGTCTTCCAAGCTTTCTGAAGTCTCGTAGTCTGATCGCTTCAATGCCACACTCAGACGTCGTCCCACTTTGAAACTTCTTTTCTTATTCTGCTTCTTGCCCGATGCAATCCACTCGTCGTCATCCGGGTCTTCCCATTCATGCTCAGATTCTTCTGAATCAGAGATATCCATATCCTCTACTATAACAACCGATTTCCGGGGATCCTGATTCAGACATACACAAACAAGTTAACAAAAAATATATATCTCAGACTTCTAAAGTGTTGTATCACCAACTTTTAAGTCGGCTCTAACCTGTTTTTTCAGGCCATGCTTGCGCCCACCATTTAGGTTATCCTCCGAATGTTGTTTCAAAGCAGAGCTCTGTAAGCATCGATAAATTGTATTAGAATGAGCATCTAACATGAAAAAAAAAGAGTTTACACAGTATATATCGAACGTTGTCCCAGCTATGTCACTAAGAAAAACTTGAGAATCATCGACAACGTTATTGATGTTACAACTGACCTGTGCCTTCACTTGATGAAGGAGTTCTGCTTTCTGCATTTCCAGATGTCTAGCCAAACTGCTAAGCTTTACTACTTTAACTTTCAGATCTCTTATCTGAATATCTTTTTCTCTGCAGTCGACTTCTTTATCCCGGGCTAGACACCTTTTGATAAAGAATGGGGGTTACATGAATATAGGGTGAGATTAACTGATACATATATTATGATAAGACCGATACATATCATGCATCAGTACATTGCAGGCAATCATTACGAGACAATCCGTTAACCACTAGCAAGCTCAATCACAGAGATTAATGAGCAGGGGATTAATAAACAAGTTAAAACTGTGTGAATTCCAGGGCTGGCAAACAATACCTTGAAGAGGATACCAGATTGAACAGATGATTCATGATACTCTTTGCATCACCTAGAGACCGAACATGGTTCCAGCGTCCTCTTCCACTAAATACACGTTCACGTTCTTCTGCTTCAGATAACTGTGTTGCCATGAAGACCAAAGTATTCGATGAAGTTTTAAGCATATTCTCGAGAGCAAAAATTCTCGAGTTTCTTGCACCCGGAGACATTGTTTGGCTGTGATCCCTGCTTTAATTGGGCAGAAAGCAATCATTGTTAACTTTCACATATCATGGCTGTTAACAAGTAAGAATGAAGAAAAAGCTTAGACAAGCCCTTATCTTGTTCAGAACACTTACGTAATTTTAGCATTCTTGAGCATTTCATTTTCTTCCTTTAGTCTAGCAATTTCTTTGGCAATTCTTGCTCTCCTGGATTAGCAGGAAATAACTTGAGACTCGCTTTCACAGAAAACCATTGATGTAGTGATTAAGAACCGATATTTCAAACACGATGAGAGTAAAAAAAATAAATAAATAAATCAAAAGACTTACTCTTCCATTTGCCTCTCATATTCGGAACGGACTTCGTGAACCCGTACTATGACTTCGAGTTCATGCTCAATAGCTTGCATTAATGCCTGCAAATGGGACGTCATTGGTTTAAAAGAGAAACAATTTAATCTAAAATCCAACACGTTCAAGTTTACAGTTGAAAAGAAACTTCAGTTCCCACAGTAAATAGTAAGTAATACCTGAGTTCCAGGACCATTAAGACTTGCAGCACCTGCATTTCAAAGACGATGTTAACAGCAGTCATACAAAGGAGATCAAAAAGAATCTCATGTGATACTTAAATTCTCTCACCTGATGTTTCGCGTGAAGAAGCTTTCCGAGTTTCTAAAAGTTCTTTTAGCCTTTTCGTGACTTGAGCAGCCTCTTCTGTCTTCCTTTGTAAAACCTGCCCATATGAAAAAAAACATAAAGTTGAGCGCACAAAATCATACATCATCAACATCAACATCGCCTTAGTCCCAAGTTGTGCTATAACTTACGAGAATGGGCGCATAAAATCATACAGATATTTAAAAAAAGCTGTGGTATAGCTTACGAGAATGAACTTACCAATTTCTGTTTTTGATTCAAAGCCATGAGTTTGTGCATCTCATACTCATTTCTTCTTCCCTCTTTCTTGAGCTGGAAACCAAGATAAAAATTGTAAATGAAAAAGTGGATACTTGTGCAGAGCACAATTCAAAGTAAGAGACCATGAAACCGAACATATCACAGACCATTGAGAGATGTTATCTAACTGAGGCATTAAAAAACTCCTATGGATTTCAAAACAACTTGATTTCGTATTAAAAAGTTTTCCTTTAGCCCGATAAAACCAAAAGATATGTACTTATTGTGAAAGCAACAGCTGAACCGATCTAATTGGGTGAAGAACATAGCTCTTGGTCCCACCCTTATATAATTGCAGAATGAAATGACTAAATCTAAAATCAATTCTTAGTTCATTAAGGCAACTAACATGCTTCTCAAACGGAAACATGTAAAATTGGATAGTGTAGTGCTTCATAGGTTGAATACCTGCAGGACTTCCTTTTCTCTTGATGCCTTCCAAACCCTGAACTGTTCTGACTCTTGCTTAATCTTTTGCTGCAATTGCACCTGAAAGTATTGAACCGAATCAGATTAATATATACACGCAAACATATAGATGTGCATATAAAGTTGAGAGGAAGATTGTGGTAGGAAAAAGATAACACCTTGTGAGACTTAATTCTGTGTATCTCATCATGCAGTCTTTTTGCTGCCTCGTCACTTTTCTGTTTTTGCCTCAAGAGCTGAGCTTGTGCATCTTGTTTCTTCTTCAGCTCAGAAACCTAAACACACATAATGCCAATGTACTTGCAGTGAATTGTGTTGTATACTTATATGAGAAGATATGAGAAATGACAAGGGACTTACCTGAGCCTCAAGCATGTTCAGCTTCTGAAGATACTCTTCCTTAAGTTTCCAGGCAGCATCACCTGAAGTAGATGATATGCTAGCAAGTTTCTGCCTCAGATCTTCAATTTCTTTCTGCAAATATATATTTGATTTTGTTAACGTTCATGTTTATGAGTCCCATTATAATCTTATAGAAACAAAAGAATGCTGACCTGCAATGATCTTTTCTCATCTTCCAATTCATGTACTTTCTTCTCATAGTGTTGCTTGATAACCGATGTATCAGCGTTTGAGTAATGTTTCATTTCAGCCTTCACAAATAAGTTTGGATGGTTGTTGGAGATGTGGACAATTTTTTCTCTGTCCAACAGAAAATAACATAAATGATATCAAGTTCCACGTATGAGAATAATACCTCCTTTTCTTCAAGCCTCTTATCCAATTCCTTTAGCTCTCTGTCTAGCTTTTCTTGAAGTGAACAATGTTCAAGCTCCTTTTCACGAAATTCAATTTCATCTGCATCTATATTAAGTTAAGGACAGCTTTCATTAATACAAATGCAACAAAATAAAATTGATCGGAGAAACAATAAAAAAAAAAACTTAGGCAAATGTAGCATCTCGTTGCAAACAACTACTAACCTGAAACATCAATAACTATGTCTTCGCAATCGGATGACACGTTAGATGTTGGGAACAAGACATTCCCCGAGCGGAGCCCATCATCATCAGAATCAACAGAATCAACATATTGAAATTTCTTGGGGTTCTTCAAACTTTTGATATGCAGCAATTCTCCTTCTAACTCTTGAATTTTTGAGACATAGGTTTTCAGCAAATCAAAATCCTGGAAAACGAACTACTTGAGAATATAATATGCTCTATAGTCAATAAACATTAACATAGAAAACATCAAAGATGTCCCACCTGGTTCGGACATGATTCAATCTCATCCAGAGATTTACCATTGCGAACAGATTCAATAGTCATTATAAGTTTGTCCTTTTCAACCTAATTGGACGAAAACAAAGAGTTATGATCTTGTATCAGTATCGCGCTAGTTCAATCCAGAAGATGCATATTTAAAAGATCGGTAGACCTTTGGAAGAAATGAAAGTATTTAGGTGAAAGTGTGATACGAGAAAAGAGAGACCTGAGAATCATAAGCACGCTTTGATAAATGCTCGCAGGCGACTCTCCTTTCCTGAAGTTCCCGTTGCAGCTCATTATTGCTTGCTTCTAGCAATGATACCTTTTGCTTGAGAATCTAAAATACAAAAGATACAACTTAAGTAAAACGTCATAACACCAGCACTATATCTCAATGTTTATCCTTAGAACTAGTACCTGAAGCTCATCAAATGCAGTTCCATCACCTCGATAAAACAAGAGTTCTGACTGCAGTTGCTCAATTTGGCTCCGCATTCTTTGAATTTGTTCAGCCGATGGGTCCCGATTTATCTAAAAATTATGAAAACATCTTAGATTACAAGATCACAGAAAGTAAATATCATCCTAAATCTAGGCGGAAACAAAAATGATAGATATATACATACAACTGCTTTATTTTGAATGTTTCTAGCCCGATTTGCGTATTTCAATGTGTTCAATGTTTCCTCAGCATTTGTATCAGCTGGACTGACACAAGCTGCATCAATAAAAAAAACATCAGTTTGAGGAAAAAAATCATAAGCTAAATAAAAACTCCTACATTTGTTAACATTTTGGACAGCTATGAAAACCATACCAATCATCACCGTCTTACTGTTGCCTCCAAGAGAATCCTGCAATTTATAAAATCGATTATAGGACTTGATTCTTGATGCATCTTTGAGAGAAGATTAACCAAAAGTGAAAGTATTCCAATACAGTGTTTGTGTGAGTGAAAAGTCCAAATAGAAAGTTAATACCTGGAGCAAACGGGTTAGCTTGCTGTCACGGTACGGAACGTGAGCTCCTTCCTTTCTTTTTTTATCATCACCTAGAGCACTTATCACGTTCCCGAGTGCTAATAGGCCTTTGTTGATGTGAATTCCTAAAAACATATTCAAAAACCAATATTGAACTATTAACTCTAAGTCTATAATTCAACCTCTAGTTGACTAATCAAAACGACAACCAAAAAAAGCTTTATAAATGCGACCCAAATTAGAAGAGGACGCCTTCTAACCTTCTTTCAGGCGCATGCCATCAGCCCCCGTTCGCTTTGCCCGTTCAGACCCCGCTAAGTCGACCAAATGAAGCTTTGCGCACAATATGTCATCACCAGCATCATCAGTTGTAATGGAAGAACAACTTGAAGTCTTCTTTTGTTCCACGGTGATTGTGAAAATGGCATGAGAACGGCTGGAAGAAAAAATGTAGGAGTTAAATTAGTATGAAGAAGGAAAGTACGACTCAATCTATATTCTATACATCAAAAGTATGAAAACCAATTTTTACACAACATAAAAGAATTGGCATTGAAGCATTACAGAATACAGAGAAATTATTTCCCTATTAAGAAGACTTCAGAAAGATAGAACATAAGCTCTAATGTATAACGCACTTATGGAAAAGCACATCAATCAGCACTCCAATTGTTAGACATTCTTGACATTTTTTATTTACAGAGATCGTCTACAATGACCAAACAGAAGAATCAAGAAAACAATGAATCTCCCCAGTTTTTCTCACTATCTGAATGTGAATATTGAATAGATTGTTCATCACAAGTACTAATGCAAAGCAAACTAATGACCACATAGCAATTTTCTTTAGAGGAAGAATCTGCAAGAAGAAGTTAAGCCAACTTCATCAACACACCTTGACTGGCTATTCATATTTGTGCTGCCAGTAGCACGCGACATTGAACCCCGTGCTAGATACGAGGCCATCTCCTCTTTTGTCTTAACTTCGGCTTCGGTAACACCAGCTAGGGTGATTCCCCCACTTGCAGTTTCTCTTATTTGAATAGGAGGCCTTGAGAGAGCAGTTGGCTTTGACTGAGCTGCCACTTCACTTTTCAAGGATGCAATTGAGTTTGAGTCAAGCAAGTCGAAAACTTCTTCCTTGAAAATCTGTCATTTGGCAAAAGTGGTGTAAGAAAATCAACAAGAACATAAAACTCAAATCATAAGTCACTTTCAGGGACAATTCACCTCGATGAATGAAACCCGTATCAAAAATTCTGTCGAGTCTTTGGTTGTTTCGACCCTTTTAAATATATCCTCCATCACCCTCGGTATGACACCCATGTTTGTTCCTTCGCCATTATAATTAGTGCCCATCGTATAAGTCTTTCCCGAACCAGTCTTCAACAACAATACAGAAAGCAAAAAGCATATTATCAATAAATAAATCTTAATCACGTGTACGCAAGAACTGCAGAACCATGGAAACTGAAATCGAACCTGCCCGTATGCCAGAACCGTGGCATTGTATCCTTTGAATAATGCCTCGACCAGCGGAGCCACACAACTATCATAGATTCTGGAACAAGGAGATCCAGAACTACCAAGCACGAAATCGTATGTGAAAGAATGTGATCCAATTTGAACCTATTCAAAATCGAATCCACGACAAATAAACAGGAAAATCTTCAAGTCAAACCAACGAGCTGTTTGTGAAAATTAATCAGAGATTTCCGACAGTCAAAAACACCGAAAAACAATATCCAATTTATTACCTGCGGCTCACCCGGAACGACGGTGATGCAATCTGTGCACCCGTTGAGAAGCTCAGGTGTAATCAATGGACGAATATTGACGGCGACTCTTACGCACTCCGGATTATCCATCTCCAGCGGTGGAAAACCAAGACGAAAGCTCAAGAACACGAAACCCTTATGCAGATCCGAGAACTCCCGGAGCAAAATCCAAACAAAACCCACGAAACCCTAATGCGAATTCGGATACAAAACACCGCCCGGAAAAAAAAAACAGAATCAGAACCCAGAAAATCAAAGGCGAGGAAGGTGCAGATCCGACCCCGATACAGGAGATTCAACAGATGTGGAGCTGGAAATCACACGAATCCAAAAACAGAGAAAATGAACGAAGAAAAGAATTCGAATTTCCAGGAGAGGAGAGAGAAAGCGAGAAAGGAACAGAGAAACAAACGGTCTTTTGAGAGGACAATAGTGGAATTTGTTAGAATTTCCTTCTTAAAGTTAAAGGCCCGCCGATGAGGCACGAATTCAAATTTCAAGTTTGAACCGACACCGTTAGAGGATCACCCATGTGATATGCACGTGATATCAGAGCATGCGAGGCACGTGAATCATCTGTTGCAAAATCTCTCGAACTTAAACCGGTCACATTTGGACCGGTCTAGAATTCGATGCCCCCAAACCAGACCATAGTAATCACCACAACCACGTCCGACTATTTTTTTTACGTATTAATTGGGAATGTTTTTTTTTGGTAAAATATTAATTGGGAATGTTATTTCTTGTCTGTACATGCAAAAAAATGTCCGAATAATATCGTCGTAGAATGACAAAATAATAAAACTGTGTAATGAAATTTTTGTTTTATGTTTGAATCGATTAAAAAAAAATCATTTTCATTGGCCGTAAAATCTTCGGCTAAAGTTTCAAAATAATCTCGTGCATCCGTGTAAAAAGAGAGAAAATAATCCCTAATAGCCATTGTTCGTTAACATCTAATTAATTTTTTGCTCAATATAATTAAATTGTAACTATTGATCTAGTACTTTCAATAATTGGATTAAAAGTTATTAATTTTAGATAATTCAAGAACTTATATTCCAATTATATTCATTGTATCTACCGTTGAGGACGGATGAATGTACGTTTCACATCTATTACAACATTGTTGTATGAAAAAGTTAGAAAAAAAAATATAATTAGTTTTCTATAGTTTTTTAACAAATGACCACATTTCATTATCACAATAATAAAGTCGGTCCTCCACTTTGCTTTGTCCAAATAAAAAAAGTAGTCGTCCACTAACGTGGAATATGGGCTATAAAAATAGTGCATATATATGTATATATATATAACTAGATACGTCTAAAAACATTACTTATTGGCAGTTTCGATATTAAATAAATATTATTATGTTTCATTTCGCAAAAGTTGGAGTGAATATTGATTTAGTATGTTTTATTTTTTTAAAAACGTAAAAAGACGGATATAAATATAATATCCCCCCCCCCCTAATTATGTAATTTTATGTAAAACAATTGTATATAACACGACGTTTCATAGTTATGTATGTATAAAATTTAACAATAAAGTATTTATTAAAAGAATAAACTAAGACTATTCTTTATTTTATATACACACACATATACAACCACAAAAATATACCATACAGTGTTAAGTTGACTCCAAAGTCTTTCTGCCGTTGACTTTGAAAAAATAAAACATAAAGACTTGAGCATTCGCAAGGGTTATTAATCTTCGTCCTTATATATTTTTACACTCTGACCGGACAGAAGAGCAAGTTCTCTCGTGTTTTACTTCCAAACCCTAAATGGAACTTGAACTCTCCTTAATACTTGTGTTACTCCCTCTTCTCGTCATGTCCATAAAAGACGGTTCAATTCCTTTGAATTCATCTCTCACTTCTTCACAAGCCCAACAGTTCTCCAATTCATGGCGCTCACCTTCGGGAGATTTCGCGTTCGGGTTCCGCAAAATCGAGCCGAACGAAGATTTCATGCTGTCCATATGGTTTGATAAGATTCCAGGCAAAACCGTCGCGTGGTATGTCCACTTGGACAGTTCTGTTCCCCAAGGATCAAAGGTTACGTTAACTAGAGATCAAGGCATTGTTCTTACGAATCCTCGAGGCGACCAAATATGGCGGTCTCAGATCGATTCCGGTGTCGTTTCCTACGCATCTTTGAATGATTTCGGAAACCTCGTCATTAAAGATGAGAGTTCTGATGAATTGTGGTCGAGTTTTGCTCATCCCGCGGATACTTTGCTGCCTACCCAGGTAATTATGTATATATATATACAAGTTTAACGAATTTGTACTTGCTAAAGTTAACTATTACTTTGTACATACCAAAGTTTACACAGACAAAGATACCTAACAATTATTTAAACTAATTCAATACGAAATTAATAAAAATTAAAAGGGAAATAAGCTAAAAGGAAACTTTATTTGTTTCGAGCTGTATATCTGCAATCTTTGATTGTATTTCCATAGCTGTTTCTAGGTTAGAACTCTTCTATTTTGTGTATAAGTCTGTACCAAGAACCCTGTCAATGGCAAGCCGCATTGTTTATTCTCTGCCCGGTTTCAATACTTGTTATGGTATCAGAGCCCGAAACCTCCATTTTTTCGATCTGAAACTCTGTTTTTTATGTCCACCGACGCCGACCCTGTTTCTTCTACGAACCCCGACTCCACAGAACCATCGACTCCAATCCCGCCTCCGACTCAGACACCGACCATGACTCAGCCAGCGACAGCGACCGACAATGTGATTGTTCAGCGGAGAACGATTTCTCCATATGATCTCACACCGAACGACAATCCCGGTCTTGTTTTGTCTCAACCGTTGCTCCGGGGAGACAATTATGATGAGTGGTCCATCAACATTCGCCAAGCACTGAAATCTCGAAAGAAGTTTGGGTTTGTAGATGGCACAATTCCACCACCGAATCCGACTTCGCCTGATTTCGAAGACTGGGACACGAACAATGCACTCATCACCTCCTGGATCAAGAACACGCTTGAATCTCAACTCCGATCTGATGTGGTTCATCGTGAATACGCTCAAGACTTGTGGGACTATCTCAAGCGTCGTTTCGGGAAGACGAACGCTCCTCGTCTTCTCAAAATACGCAGCGATCTTGCCAACTGTCGGCAACAGAGCATGACAGTCGAAGCATACTTTGGAAAGCTCACAAAACTGTGGGACGATTTGGCGACTTTCCGTTCTCTCAAACACTGCAAATGCAACCAATGTACCTGTGACATAGGTGCCACACTTGAGAAGGAACGTGATGAAGACAGGCTCTATCAATTCCTTCTCGGGCTCGATGATTCGAGATATGCAACTGTGCGATCAAACCTCCTTTCGCGTCTTCCTCTTCCCAGCCTTGAGGAAGCGTACAATCTCGTGTCTCAGGACGAAGACACTAAGTCGGTTGCGCAGACCCATGATGATAGACCTGAAATTGCGGCATTTTCTATTCGAGCTGCTCCGAAACCCAGACCAAAGCTTGATGACAAAGACAAATCCATTCTCTGTAGTAACTGCGGTCGTTCAGGTCATCTCGCAGAAGGATGTTTTCAGATTCTGGGATTCCCCGAGTGGTGGGGGGACAGGCCACGAAACCGAACAGGGGCGGGACGCGGGAAAACTCCTTCTTCCTCTGATCGCACTCGCATTCCGGTTGCTCGTGCTAATGTCACCCAAGTTGCAGCGGCTTCGACTGTCTCCCCCTTAGTTGATTCAGACAAGCACTATCTCAGTGGCATTACCCAGCAGCAATGGAATTCCTTGATGGCTCTGCTCAACACCACATCAGTCGACAATCCTGATACGTTCTCTGGTAAGATTTCTTCAGACCCTTGGATTCTCGACACTGGCTGCTCTCAGCATATGACAGGCGATTTCTCATCATTGGTTGATGTCTCTCCTATTCGACCCTGCTCAGTAATCTTGCCCGATAATCGGACAGTTCTATCAGTTAAATCTGGAACAGTTTCTCTCGGTTCTCGCCTCTGCCTATCAAATGTTCTTTTCGTGCCGGGTCTTCGCTGCCAGTTAATATCGATATGCCAACTGATGGCTGATACTGATTGCTTTGTTACCTTTGCTCCTTCCTTCTGTGTCATTCAGGACCGGATTTCCAAGATGCCGATTGGACTGGGTGAACAAAAAGCAGGGCTGTATTATTTCCGTAATGCAGCGACTTTGGCAGTCACTAGGACGAAGGATTCATCATCGTTTGATCTGTGGCACAAGCGACTGGGACATCCTTCTTCCAAAGTTCTGTTGAAGATCTCTGATTTTGATTTGTCTGCTACTAGTTGTCTTGCTTCTAAACCTTGCGATATTTGTCTACGAGCGAAACAGACTCGAGAACCGTTTCCATTGAGTCATAATAAAGCTTCTGCTATTTTTGAGCTTATCCACTGTGATTTATGGGGACCATATCGCTCCTCATCTTCTTCGGGTGCGAAGTTTTTCTTGACTATTGTTGACGACTTCTCCCGTGCTACATGGATTTTTTTGCTTACCGGCAAACACGAGACACAGGATAAACTCCGAAATTTTATGGCCTTAGTTGAGCGACAATTCAATACAGCCGTGAAAACAATTCGTTCAGACAATGGCTCCGAGTTCATAAGCATGCGTCCTTATTTCTCGGCGAAAGGAATAATACACGAAACCTCTTGTGTTGGCACACCCCAACAAAACGGACGTGTTGAACGGAAACACCGTCACATACTTAATGTGGCTCGTGCATTGTTGTTTCAGGCTAATCTTCCAATTGATTTTTGGGGAGAAAGTATTCTGACAGCCGGTTATTTGATAAACCGAACTCCATCCCCAATTCTCGATGGTCGAACTCCATATGAAATTCTTCATGGACATGCCCCGTCTTACGATCATCTTCGAGTCTTTGGCAGCTTGTGTTATGCACACAATCAGAATCGACAGGGCGATAAATTTGCTCCGAGGAGTTTTCGCTGCATTTTTGTGGGATATCCATCTGGGCAAAAGGGATGGCGTCTTTATAATCTGGAAACACGGAAGTTTCTCGTTTCCAGGGATGTGTTTTTTGTTGAAGACAGATTTCCATACTCTGACAGTGTTGATATCTCAACTTCAGCTTCGCCTCCACCACAGCTCCATCCTCCTGTCTATTTGGATGACGATACCCATATTTTCTCGGCTGGTTCTTCTCGGCTATCTCCACCGGTGTCGTCTTCTTCCGAACCTCAGAATCTGACATCTCCCGACAATTCGATATCTCCTGCCAATTCTTCTTCCTCTGTCTCCCGGGATGTGCAGGAAACTCCATCGACTTCGCATACGCCACCAGATTCTTCATCTTGTGGTTCTGGTTCTAGCTCAGACATTGTATCATCATCATCTTCAGCTGATCCATCTCCACCATGTCTTGGAAGAGGGCAACGCCAGAAATATCAAAACATTCTGTTAAAGGATTTCGTTACCAATGCAGTGGCAGTTAGCTCTGGTCCGCAATTTCCTCTTGCTGATGTCATCTCTTACAATCATATCTTGCCTCAGCATCAGGCTTTCCTCGGAGCTGTCACCGCCAACGATGAACCTCGATCTTATTCAGAGGCAGCTCAAGATCCTCGCTGGCAGCAGGCTATGCGTGAGGAAATCGCTGCACTTGAAAACAATGGAACCTGGACAACTGATTTTCTACCACCGAACAAGAAAGCTATAGGGTGCAAATGGGTTTTCCGCATCAAGTACAGATCTGATGGAAGTATAGAGCGTCACAAAGCTCGACTCGTGGTGCTCGGAAATCGTCAAACAGAAGGTGTCGACTATGATGATACATTTGCTCCGGTCGCTAAAATGGTTACCGTAAGAACTTGTCTTGCAGTTGCAGCGGCTCGAAATTGGGACGTACACCAGATGGATGTGCACAACGCATTTCTACATGGTGATTTATCCGATGAGGTGTACATGAAACCCCCACCGGGTTTCCCTGTATCGCATCCGAATCACGTTTGCCGACTTCGGAAATCTCTTTACGGCCTTAAACAAGCTCCCCGTTGTTGGTTCGCGAAACTTAACACCGCTCTTACCCGATATGGTTTCCAGCAAACACAGAGTGATCACTCTCTGTTTGTCCTCCAGAATGCATCTACACGCATTCATGTTCTCGTCTACGTTGATGATCTACTTGTCACCGGTAACTCTGCATCGGGTGTGTTAAAGTTCAAGGCCTATCTCAGCAAGTGTTTCAAAATGAAAGATCTAGGACGCCTAAAGTATTTTCTTGGCATCGAGGTTGCTCGAAATCCAACAGGAATATCTCTCTGCCAGCGAAAATACACTCTCGATCTTATTGCAGAGACAGGTCTATTGGCTGCGAAACCCGCCTGTTTTCCACTGGAGCAGAACCACCGTCTTGCCGTCTCCGACAGCGAAGTTCTCTCCGACCCTGAACCTTATCGGCGGCTGATTGGAAAACTACTTTATCTCCTCGCAACACGCCCCGACATCACATATGCTGTTCACATTCTATCTCAGTTCATGCATATCCCGCGCCGCGATCACTGGCTTGCTGCACTCCGTGTTGTTCGTTATTTAAAATCCCGTCCTGGCCAGGGAATTCTGCTCAGGTCTGATTCTGATCTCCGTTTGTATGGCTGGTGTGATTCGGATTGGGCTGGTTGCCCAAGTTCTCGTCGGTCTCTGTCTGGTTATATTATTCAGCTCGGATCATCCCCTATCTCCTGGCGTTCCAAACGACAGAATACGATCTCTCTTTCCTCGGCTGAAGCAGAGTACAGGGCCATGGCGGTCGCTACCTGTGAGCTCCTCTGGCTAAAAGCACTCCTCACTTCTCTTGGTGTGCATCATCCCGATCCCATGTTGCTGCATTGTGATAGCCTGGCGGCGTTACATATTGCTGCGAACGACGTTTTCCACGACCGAACGAAGCATATCGAGGTCAACTGTCATTTTCTCCGCCATCATATCAACTCTCGACAAATCTCTACGCGCCACGTTTCTTCCTCCAATCAACTGCCAGACATATTTACCAAAGCTCTCGGCCAAAAGGAGTTTGATGTTTTCCTGTCCAAGTTGAGCATACATAATCTATATGCTCCAACTTGAGGGGGGTAAAAGGGAAATAAGCTAAAAGGAAACTTTATTTGTTTCGAGCTGTATATCTGCAATCTTTGATTGTATTTCCATAGCTGTTTCTAGGTTAGAACTCTTCTATTTTGTGTATAAGTCTGTACCAAGAACCCTGTCAATGGCAAGCCGCATTGTTTATTCTCTGCCCGGTTTCAATACTTGTTAAAAATCAATAATAGTTACTTATATGTGTGTGTGTGTATATATATATATATGTTTTTCCATTATATTATTAGTACCTCAATCGTAAATTTGTATGGATATATGTGTAGGAGTTGAAAACGGATAGTGTTCTTTCGTCGCGTCAATCAAACAAAAACTTCACCAAGGGAAGATTCCGCGCCCATATGCTCGAATACGGGAATCTTGAACTGAACGTCGTCAACCTTCCGACCGGAAAGTATTACGGTGCGTACTATAGCTGCAAGACCGAGGATCCTCGGACAGGACCTAACTCCGGGTTTCGCCTCGTTTACAACGAGTCGGGCGAGTTATACATTTCGACACGGAATGGCACTAACATCCAAATCCACGACGGGAAAGGTATTGTTATCCCTTCCAGGGATTTTTACCATCGCGTGGTTCTACATTTTGACGGAGTTTTCGCTCAGTATTACCATCCGAAGACCGGCGGTAGTAATGCGACGTGGTCGATGGTTTGGTCTAAACCGGACGACATTTGCAAGGCTTTGACTAACGGTCTCGGAAGCGGTGTGTGCGGATTCAACAGCGTTTGCGTGGGCGAAAATCAAAGGGTTAGCTGCAAATGCGTACAAGGGTTTTCCCTCGTAGATAAGAACAACGAGAATGGAGATTGCCAGCCGGATTTCGATTCAGGCTTTTGCAATCGAACGAGAAACGATTATTCGTACGACTTTATCCGGCTACAAGACGTCGTTTGGGAATCTTCGGATTACGAGGAATACTGGCCTTACGAAGAGGAGAACTGTCGAGTTTCTTGCTTGCAGGATTGCTTTTGCGCCGTCGCGAGTTTTATAGGCAGTAGTTGCAGGAAGAAGAAGTATCCATTGTCTAACGGAAGACTAGATCAAAGCCTTGACGCTCGAGCATTCATTAAGGTTCCTAAATCCGGAATTTCCGCCGGAGATATTCCTTTTCCGGCTAGGAATCCCAATGGAAAGAAACAGCTCAGTCAAAAGGGCTTGGTCATTACAGGTTACACTCTTCTTGGAGCTTCATTACTTCTCAACTTCATCATACTCATTGCTTTTCGCAGTCGAAGTCACTGTTCCTTAGCCGACAAGAAAAAGGATTCAGGCAGCGCAGTAATCAAGTCGAATCTGCATGTTTTTACTTACAAAGAGCTCGTGGAAGCGACGAGTGATTTCAGAGATGAGGTCGGGAGAGGCGCTTTCGGGATCGTTTACAAAGGCATGATAAGAACCGGCGACAATAACACTGTCTTGGTCGCTGTCAAGAGACTCGACCGAGTCGCTCAGGAGGGAGACAAAGAATTCAAGAACGAGGTGAACGTGATAGGCCAAACCCATCACAAGAACCTCGTGAAGCTCGTCGGTTTCTGCAAGGAAGATCAAAACCATCTTCTCCTCTACGAGTTCTTGCCCAATGGAACGCTGGCGAATTTCCTGTTCGGGCATCCAAAACCGGTTTGGAAAGAGAGGACGAGAATCGCCCTCGGGATCGCGAGAGGGATCTTGTATTTGCACGAGGAATGCGACACCCAGATCATACATTGCGACATAAAGCCTCAGAACGTTCTCCTAGACGATCACTTCAACGCAAAGATCTCGGATTTCGGGCTCGCCAAGCTTCTGATGATGAACCAGACGCATACTCGGACCGGAATCCGCGGAACCAAAGGGTATATTGCGGCCGAGTGGTTCAGGAACACCCCCATCACGACGAAGGTCGACGTTTACAGCTACGGAGTGCTGCTTCTAGAGACCATATGCTGCAAGAAAGCCGTCGATCTCAAGGACAACGTGATTTTGACGTATTGGGCATACGACTGTTTCCGAAAAGACAGGCTGGTCGATTTGATCGTCGGAGATTACGAGGCTACGGACGATATGGATACGTTCGAAAGATACGTTAAAACCGCGATTTGGTGCGTACAAGAGGATCCGACAGTAAGGCCGAACATGGGAAAGGTGATACAGATGCTTGAAGGTGTTACACAAGTTTGTGTTCCTCCGAATCCTTCTCCGTATGATGCATCGTATTGATTATATTTTTTTAATCCATAAAATCTAATGTATTTCTTTGTTTTGTGTGTGGAGATTTATAAATACATATCCTACAATGAAAAGAAAACACAAATAACGAGTTCGAATCGATCTTAATCTTATGGTGGAGGAAAATGAAAAACTTGCTATCTCCTAAAAAAGTGTTTATATAAACATTTTGTCTATGATTTTGGTTTAGTTGTGAGATCAGAAGGAATTTGTGGTCTAATTCATAAATTAGAGAAATTAATCTTGCCGGAATATGGATTTAATTGCCCTAGGGATATATTTTTGATCGATTAAATATGCATCTAGCACTAGGGATCTTATTTTAAGAGAGACATATATATATATATATAGATATATATGCACGAAGCTTTAAGCAATATGGGCCAAAGGCCCTACTAACCTAATTTCGGTCCATTTCCATATGGTGTTGGACTGTTGGGCAATGGGTTTTGTACCTTCAAGGCTTCGACACATTTTAAAATTTTATATTAATTTTGTTGAAAATTTAACATTTATTAAAAATCATTATGTTTAATTATCAATTATATTTTCTTGTCACATCTTGATATCGGCACCCGATGAATATATTTTCAGAATCTACTTATATATATATATATATATATATATTATTTCATTTTTAAAACTATTGTTGATTTCACTACAAGTTTGTCCAAAATCAGAGAAGGTTTAGGCCAACCAAGAAGAGGTTACAGCAAGAAGGTAACTGAATTATGTTGATCTCCTATGATATTGCTATATAAGGGTATTTGCAGAAACTTTGAAATATTTCATTTGCTTGGAAATCTATATGTTGACAACTCTATTATATTTTTATATTCCGTATTTTGCTATTCATTCAATCTAGATTTTCATTTCATATGTGATTATTATGTAATATTACAATGAACAATATCATCATCAACATCGTCTTAATCTCAAGTTAACGGACAATATAGAAACGTTTATTTTAAACATGTACCCTTTAAAAAATAGTTGTTAAGAGGTGAAAATTCATTTTTCTTTAAGTAAAATGAGAAGAAATTAAACTTTTCAATACAAATTTGACAAAGAATTTTAGATGCGTTGAACAAATAAGCAAATGGCATTGTGGGTTGTAAAGGTCTACCAAACATCATCTATTGGAACTTTATTATAAAAACTAAAACTTGCCCCATTTTCTTCTTCACGTGATGCCACATGCAAATGTACATAACGCTCAGCAATATATATATATATATATACATATATATATATATATGTAAAAGCATGAGCATATGCAGCAATGAAATTGAGATCTTTAATCCGCATGAAAGGTATCTTGAGCATATTGTCCAACGAATCAATTAGACAGTTTCACAGATTTTAAGAAATTTGTTTTGAATAGAATGCCTAAACGAGGACGGAATCTCATCTTGTACGATCCATATAAATTATAAATGAAATATATATTTTTTTTTAAAAAACGTACATTCATTCATGTTAATGTTAATGTTAATGTTGTCCACCGGAATATAACCTTTAGGAACAAATATAATTAGAAAATTTCTCCTCTCCTTTTAATTTGTTTTATGTTGATATAAAACTATAATCTAAAAAATCAACTTCTGATGTACATACACACACATATATATATATATACATAACTATTATATTTTACATGTTCAATATTATAGATCAACCAAGATCTGAGAAAACATTGCTTTGAATGGTTGGAGTTTTTGGAGTTTTTAGAATTCAAAAATCTAAAAAATTAATATTTACGTTTTTGTAAAAAAAAATAATTTAAAAACTTAAAGAGAACGGAATGTGGAATTCGTTGATAATTTAACATTCTAATGGCAGATCCCTCTATATGGTTACAACTTACAACCATCAAAATCTGCGAAAAACTCTAATGAAAGAAAACTAAAAACACAATTTAATTAAACCCTAAAAAAAGAACCTAATGAATCAAAACGGAATAGACTACTTACGAATATGAAATCATGAGAGATCTTTGGAGAGCTCATCACGAGTTGTTTTCCTGTTCTGTGTCGGATTCGAACCGCTCCTTGGAGCTCTTCTGAGGCTTGTCTTCACTGTCCTGCCCATATCTTCTAATGATGTTTTCGGGTTTCTTGCGGAGGAAGTAACGGCGTACGCTGAGACCAACAGCCTCCGAATTCGATTCCGATCTTCGATTCCGGCTCTAACCATACCGTGGTTCGTATTGGGAAGAAGATACGGAAGAGAAGATACGGCTAAGAAAGCCGTCAAAAGCAACGGAAACAGTACAGCAAAAACTCTGGTTCTTGTTTTCATGGAGGTTTTTTTTTTTTTGTCGCTCGCTTCCTTCTTGATGTCAAGGAACTTCTGAGTGGATGTTACTTCTTCTTTCTTTTTTTCAAGAGATTATGATTATCGAAAGGGTTGCACTTTAGCCCTTCAGGGTGTTATATATATATATATATATATATATATATATATATATATATATATGTGTGTGTGTGTGTATACTTGAGTAGTCGCTGAGTGTGCTTACCGACATTCCTCCGTCAACAATATTTTGTAAAACAATAATTAAATATTTCTCCTCACCTGCATTCAAGTAATTTACTCGTTCCTTAAAAACTTTCGTTAAAAATCCATAAATATTAGTTATAAAACAGAAAAAAAAAATTGCCATTTTTTTTTGGTGTATTTCTAAATGTTAGAACGAGGTGTTTGAGTAGCAGAACGATATGAAATAATTTGATGTATACGTGTCGGATATAAAACATCGAATAAAATGAGAACATATGGGTACCTTAATAGACAAAACCACGGAGCAATACAAGGATTTAATAGAAAAATATTTTATTTTATTTTTACAAGGAAAACATAAATTAAAACACATGAAATAGGATTTTTTCGAATATTGTAGGCGTAAGCATTATTTACTTTAATTTCGGAATTTTATTTTTAAAAATTGTATTATGCATAAATTCTTATTTTTTTTAGTTTGTCGTTAATAAATTCTTACTAATTCTAATTTTATTTTTCTGATCATTAATAAGTTTTGATGAATAATTTAATAGTTATCACAATACTCTCCAAGTATATATAAAATTCGCATATTTTATACGAGATTAAGACATTGCACACAAATATTTTAATAGGCAATTCAAAATAGGGTTTTGGTGGCAGCAAAATTTGACTTGATGAGCACATGTTCTTCCATATGATTATCATGTGCACAAGTACTTAGAGAACCAAATCAAGAAAAAAAAAGTTTTTAATTATTTTTATTAATATATAGAAAACATATACCAATAAATATTTGTCGTACGCATATCTTTTATCAAGAAAAAAAAAGTAATATATCAACAAATTTTTTTATTGTACATATTTTACTTTTATTATTGGACCAAATCAATTGACCTTTGGTCGGAAACCATTGAAAAGACTTGTAAACAGTCTGTTTAACTGTTTTAGATACCTAATTTTCAGGTTTATCTAACAACAATGAACAGTATAATTCGATATTTGATTTGAAATTTAAATTTTAAAAAAAATTTAATCACTAAATTTACATCATTAGTAGTAGTGTATGACGTGTGCTTAAATCTTTTGCCAAGATTTCCCACGAGGTGTCGACAAACTGTTTATGTGTATAATTAGAGACGAATTATATATTTTCCGGATGTCAAAAACTATGATTAGGGTTTCCATTTGGGATGTGATCCTAATAATATTAGGTTTGTGATTAGTCTTCGCCTAATTGTCCTCTTGATTTGCCATGATTATGTTTCTCCCATTGCCACTATTGTTAGTCAAACACCAAAGAAATAAAGAGCCGAGATTTTGGTCGGAGACTTGAACAAATATCAAATATAAAAAAATATAGCGCAACCGTATTTGAATTTTTGAGGAACGTAATTGGTCCGTTGTTTCAGGGTTTCAGTAAATAGGGATGATAAACAAGGGATTTATATAGAGATATATATATATATATATATATATATATATATATATATATATATATATTATAAGAAAATTATCGTTCTTTTTGTGATTTTCTTCTCTAAATTGGGTATTTCCCCCTAAGAGGTAAGGACTCGGAAGCAGCCGAGATCATAGCTTAAATTATTTTTGTAAATGATAAAAATAATAATTTGTCTGACAAATATCTGAAATTTGCAAATAATTTTTCACCGATTCTCATGTGACCCATCACATGAGAAACCAATCCAAGTCGCATCCCCTTACACTTTTCACTTTAAATATGACAGCTCGGTGTTGCAGTTTTAAGTGATTCAACCTCTTTAATTTGTTTCGATTTTCTCAAGAGTTCTTAATTATTAGGTATGATGATTATTTACATTTTTGTAGACTTGATATCAGTTATTTATTCAAATCAAGAAAAAATTATTTACATTTTTTAAAATCTCATTTCAGATATATAAAATCAAATGGAATAACCTATGTTGCATCTAATCTAAGGTATGAAACATAACTTATTAGCTTTTATCAAGTTAAATTAAACGAATGTAATCGAAATATTAAAATAACTGAACCAAATAAAAATATTTTTTAAATATGAACCAAACCTAGATATAATTTAAATAAAACCGGAATAAAATCTCAATATCTGAAGATAAACACTTGCATCACTTCTTGTCTTGGTGATAGAACCATCCTGTTCTGTCTAACTTTGAGGTCTTTTCTGCATTTTTTATAGGAGAGTTGAAATCATAACGTGGAGAAGAAGGGAACAATAGAAAGACGACGAAGAATCTCTTGGAAGACGCGTCTTCGTCTTGTCTTCTCGTACTCGCAAGTGCTTTAAGAACATGCATGCGGCGTTTCCAACTGCTTCAGTTGACGTTTTCAGACCGTAAAATTAAATACTGTAGAGAAAATTCATGGAGGGGGCAGAGCAGCCAAGCAAAAGAGGCAAAAGAAAGGCCAAGATCTAGTCATAGTCAATCCACACATCACATGAATCCCAAACCCTTTATCTAATACTAAAAAAAATCATTTTTTTGAAAGGGGTTTCCTAATTAAACCCCTTTTTCCGAGATCATTGATAGAAATCAATTCAAAAGCCAACTTGTTTGGGGAGGTATGAATCTCGGGCGATGGCGGCCAGCCAAACTCGACTAACCCTAAGGCCTTAATCAGTTCTAGCTCCACTTATTTCCTGGCTCTTAAACCCGATATGAAAATCATTTTTCGAAAGGAATCTTTTCTTCCTCTATAACATGCGATTATGTAAAACCGAAACACAATCTTATACCTATTGCTTTGCAATTGCATACAAAACCAGACTATATATATAATAGTTTTGGCAGATCAAGAACCTGAGATTTAGGGAGATCAAGGGACCTCAGAGAAAGTCTCCTTCCTCGGCTGCGTCTATGGTGCTTTGGCAAAGATAGTTCCTTCCTTATTGTGGATTTAGGGTTCCCTGAATGCATTCTTGCTTTACTTTCTTTGTCTGAGATCTGACTAGGGGCAAGCTGTATTGGAGTTGACAACAATAGATTCTGTAAAAGCTCTGGTTTTTTCAGTTGAGAACTTGATGACGAAGGACATGCAGTCTATTTCAAACAAATATATCCAACATATTTACAGATATGCACTGAACGATTGCTTTCGTAACACAGTTATTTGAAAGAATGTTTTGGACCGGGCAAGACCCAAGTGATAACTTGTTCGAAACCAGAACACAAGACTGCTATTAAACTACATTTGGGAAATGATTTCTACGAGCATGCACAAGTGAAGGGTAGAAATAAATAAAGTAAATAGGTTCATCGGAACTGCATAGCCGAAGAAATCATGGAAGGTCAACTGATGCGATCATAATGAGTGACAAATCATGTCGGAGGCAGTAACTCAGACAATGCTCGAGACAAACTGAATTTCAGAAGAAAAAAACGATAAAGCAAAAGAAATAAAAGGCATACCTCCTGTATACCCATTTGTTCCATGCCTCTTTCCGCTCCTTTCCAATATCCAAGACCTCAGGAGTGCTAGGGTTGGCTTTACATTTGAAAGAAGCCGAAAGAAGTTTGTATAATCAACCTTATGGACCGCCATAGTGTTAAGAATGTGCCTTGTTATACTTAACAAGACCGAGCTTCTTTATCTTTCCGATCTGATATTCATCACCATGGATTTTTCCCATTCCTATACCAAGCCCGCGACCAGGATGTCAAATTCCATTCGCTTCACAAGAAATAGAACTGAATATATATTTTTGGAAAACAAACTTACCTCTCCTATTGCAATAATTTGCCTCCTCATTTATCAGCTGAGCAACCACTAGAGTTTTAGCGAACTGTGCAACATTCTGCAATCCTTTGTCTGGCTGATTTGCAGAACAGTATCTTTGACCAGAGAGGCCTGTTGTTTTCAGGGTGTAACTCGGATCAAATGGGTCTAAGAACCGAACTGAGCCATAATCTATGGCCAAACCCAAAATGCTCATGTTGTCAAATGTATTTTCATGCAAATCTAAATAGCCTCTGTAAATAATGCTATCAATGATATGAATGCCAAAGGCTGATTCCTAGATACAGTATCGGTGTCTCTGAATATGATAAATTCTTGGAGATCCAAAACCGTGGATGAGAAAATGGAACAATGTATCATCTCGCAATCAGAAATGTTTGATGGAACTTGATTTATGCAAGGTCTACAACAAGAAAACAAGAAATTACCTGCATGCTTGTTCGATGTTAGATCCATGGCAGAATCATCTCATCACTTGGCACCAGAAAAATATTTAAGGAACATCTGGTCTTTGGATCCTGAAAATCAGAAATATATTATCAAAGGCCTGACATGAGATACAGGGAGAAGGAAGAACAAGCTGGGGGAAAGAAGCAGCCCATTCAATGTGAGAAAACACCACATACATGTCAATAACACTGTGAATCAGATGTCCTAAGAGGCTTAACTTCCTGCTG